TCAAGTAATAATAGTTGTTTGGTTCTTAAAATCAAACAAACGACCTCTAATCTTGGTTCATTTCCCTTTTTTTTTTAATATTTAATTACTAAAATATTTTTGAATAAGTTTGTCATTATTTTAAATTAATTTTTTTTCAATTTAATAAAAAAACAAATCCTTTATATTAAAATTAAAAAATTTATGCACAATTATCTTTCTATCTCAAAAAATCAAATTTTAATTAATAAAATAAAAATTAAATTCTCTTATCAACAAACTATCACTTTCTTAATCTCTTTCTTTCTTTCTATTTTCTCCAGATTTAGACAAAAAATTTATAGTTTAGAAATACCGACCTCAAAGGCTCAAACCGTTAGCTTGTCACTTCATGTAGCCTATTCGGATTAGAAAATTTCGTTTTCCCAATTCCCAAAGGCATAGGCCACAAACAAACACAAAATTCATTCATTTTTTTTTTACTGAAAAACAGAGTCTGCCGTCTCTTTGACATTTCAATCTCAACCCCAATCACAATTTTCCAAACCCCTCCCCACTCACTCCATTCCCCATTCGTGGATCTCTCAATTCTCAACAACCCATACCATCCAACCATCATTACTTAACAACAATTACCCAAAACCCAAAAACAAAGATAAAAAAACTCTCAACATTATCCCCAAAATAAAAATATTACAGCCTACAAATCAACTATGCTTATAATATTCCCTCTTGTGTCTCTTTCTACCAATACATCACCTCACTCGGACGTTTATTTTTATACTTTTCTAAGGAGCAGCTTCCACAAGATCCATTCTGTGTTGGTCAATGAAACAAACACTAAGGTTTCTCGCCAACCAAACAGGATGACAATTGAAGAACCAGAGTCTAATCCCCTGTTGGATTGGCTGGACGACTCGGTGTCGTTCCTTCCGTCTTTCTTGGATGATCCGTACAGCTCCGGCGATGTATGGTGGGATGAGAATCGGAATTTGGGTCAAGATCTGATCAGTGATGCTAATGTTGCTACTTCTATTACTGGGGATGCGGATACGGTTGCTATTGATGGGGTGAGTGCAAATCCGAGTGTTTCTGATCCACCTTCGTTTGTAGATGTATCCAAGAAGCGGAAAGCTCCGCAGGAGGGGTTTCCGGGGGCGTCTCAGAGTCAACAACGGAGAAAGAATCCGGATGGCATCGGTGAAAATGAAGGGATGGTGGTTGCGGCTAAGAAGGGGGTTGGAAACAGGAAGAGTGCAAACAAGCCTACAGGGAATAACGGTAATAACGGTAATAACAAGGAAGGGAGATGGGCAGAACAATTGTTGAACCCCTGTGCTACGGCAATAGGTGCCGGAAACCTCACGCGTGCGCAGCACCTACTGTTTGTTCTCTATGAGCTGGCTTCACCGACCGGTGATGCCAACCACCGGCTCGCAGATCATGGGTTGCGAGCCCTGAATCACATAGTCTCCTCCACTACATCCTCTGCTTCCTCTGCTGCCGTAGGACCTATAACTTTTGCCTCTACAGAGCCCAAATTCTTCCAGCGATCTCTGCTAAAGTTCTACGAGGTCAGTCCATGGTTTGCATTCCCTAATAAGATTGCCAACGATTCTATCCTCCAGATTCTTGCTCAAGAACCAGAGAAGACGGGTAATCTTCATATTCTTGATATTGGGGTTTCTCATGGTGTTCAATGGCCTACGCTGCTTGAAGCCTTGAGTCGCCGCTCCGGAGGGCCGCCTCCTTTGGTTCGCATCACCGTTGTTGCAGCTGCTGCCACTGAGAACGATCAAATGGGGGAAACTCCATTTTCCATCGGTCCACCAGGGGACAGTTTCTACTCCAGACTTCCCAGCTTTGCCAAATCCATGAACATCAATTTACAAATCAGTAGACTGGAGAATCACCCGTTGCAGAATCTGAAGGCAGAATCCATCAAAAACTCTCCAGAGGAAACGTTGATTATCTGTGCGCAATTCAGACTCCATCATCTAAATCACAACACCCCAGATGAAAGAGCTCAATTCTTGAGGGTAATAAGAAGTTTGGAGCCAAAGGGGGTGATTCTCAGCGAGAATAACATGGAACGTAGGTGCGGCAACGGTGAAGATTTTACGACGGGTTTTTCACGGAGAGTGGAGTACTTATGGAGGTTTTTGGACTCAACAAGTTCTGCGTTCAAAGGCAGGGAGAGTGATGAAAGAAGAGTAATGGAAGGGGAGGCGGCGAAGGCATTGACAAACCATGGAGAGATGAATGAAGGGAAGGAGAAATGGTGCGAGAGGATGAGAGCTGTAGGGTTTGTGGGAGAAGCATTCGGCGAGGATGCCATTGATGGAACTCGAACTTTGTTGAGAAAGTATGACAACAACTGGGAGATGAGCGTTGAAGAGAAAGATAGGTGTGTTGGATTGTGGTGGAAAGGGCAACCTGTTTCCTTTTGTTCCTTGTGGAAGTTGGATGTTAAAATAGATGAGAATTCAGAGCAGTTGTAGCCCTCTGTTTTCTTCTTCTACATTCAATGTAAATAAATGGAGTGTGAGTCTACTAAGTGAATGCTGATTAAGCTATTTCAATTTCAGTCATGGTTTCAGAATTGTTGCATGCAAATAAAATATACAGATCAAGAGTATGGCATGGTATAAAATAGAAATGGTTATTCAATACAAAGAAAAAGGTATAAATGGTTATTACCCAGGAGGAAATAACCATCAAATAGCCATACCATGAACCAAGCATTACCCAACTGTTACAAGAATCAAAGGTTCTTTCATGGCTCATAAGGTAGAAAGCATGATGCTTTAACTAGTAGGGGTTATAGCATATTAAAGCTTTGCAGGAAAATATAGGGAACCTACAATATTATTTACTTCAGAATGAGCTACATCCTAAAATCCTACCTGGACATATTAACAATGTATAATATGCATTCTTGAGGAAGAAAAAGGAAAACTAATGAATCTGGCAGTGCGGGATCCAGTCCATTCCATTTCCATGCCTTAACTACCAGCAGACCCCGTGCTGACAAAACAAATCAGAGCCCCATTCAAAATGCAGCCCTTTTAAATCTAGAAAAAGACAAAGGGAAAGGAAACCATAACAGGTTAAATGCACACTTTCAGATTTAGAAAGGCTGTAATAGTTTTTCACCTCAACCATAAATTCGCAATGAACTTCGAATTTTTTGGCAGCAAACAGGGCATTTTGCATGGCTTGCACTTTCTACTAGTTGGGCACAGCGTGGACAACACACAAGATGACCGCAGGGGGTGAATGCAGATCTTCTTCTTCTCATCAAGCAAATTACACACAGCTCATTGTCCATAACTTCTGTCTCCTCCAAATATTCCAAATCATCATCATAAGCATCATAACTTGGTTGTGGAAGCTGTCTTTGACTTTGTTGCCTCCATTGTTTCCATTTGTTCCAGTTCCTGAATATAATATATTGAGTATGCTTTATCTTAACATAATGCGAAATCATATAACCAGATAGTGAAGTTACTAATGTAACAGGACTAAAGAAATATTTGACAGGCAATATGCAAATAAGAAATATGGCAAGGAATTGAATATCCAAGGATAAATGTATGTCAAAGAAAAACTGGAGTACCTCACAACAGCATAGCCAAGTATACCAATAGAAATTAAACCAAGTACAACTCCACTCCACAACAGTGTCTTTGTACCGACTGCAAGATCTAATACCATCTGATCCTTAGTCAATTCAGAGCTGCAAAAGACCATGATAACCCCAGTTATCTAGGTTAAAGCAACACCAAAAACAAGCAATTAGGAAATTATCAGAGCTTATGGATCTTGCCATCAAACTGGAACTAAAAAAATGGGGAGGGGATGCCACTTTTGGTCTTTTCTTTAATCAAACAGTTTCTGACATTTTAATTGTCTAAGTAGTGCCAATTGTTAGATTTACCCCAGAAAAAGAAAAAGGCAGTTCATGGAAAAGGAGTATAGAAGTAAAGATAAAATTGTATGTATTTGTGAATATTTGCAATAGAGTACAAAAATTTGATTCCTTTAACTGAAGTGCATTCATGGCTTGATTTCTTTTTATAAATAAATAATGAATTAGTTAAAACACCAAACACAGGGATGCAATGCAAAACTTGTTGCTTCAGGGGCAAGAAGTAAAACTGCACATTAAGGCAACAAGCATATTTAAGGCAGCAACTATGTATAAAGAAGCAAAAAATTTTAAAGCAAACAATTTTTGCCCAAATCAAGAGCAAGAAAATTTCAAGTCAAATTGTAAAGCTAACAAATTGTTTTCTAGAACAAACACCCTTACAGAAAATAGGGAAGCTCCTTGCATGACTTGATTTCAGTTACTCCATCATTGAAACTACAGATGCCTACAGCACTGATTTCCTTTCCTAATGGAAGAATTTTCTCTTCATCAAGCAGCCCAACCTTTAAAAGAAAAGGCCAATTGGACTTTAATATGATTGAAATATCAATATGAAAACTAATGCAAAAACAAAACAAGAATGCATAAAGCTTGCATATTTATATTTTTCAAGACAATGTGAAGCAGAAAAAAAAAATAAAAATTTTTCTAAACTTACAGGATATTCATGACCAAACAATGCCTGAAGAAATGTATAACGAGATGCACTGATAGGGTGCACATGGTGATACACTGTAGTAAGAGGTAGGGGATGTTTGGAGCCAACCAAGTTCACATTGAGCCACTGATCACCTTCAACAAGAATGAAAGGAACCTGCAAAATTTAAACAAATAACATAACAAAATAAGATCCTTTGCTCCAATAAACACAAAAATACTCCATTTCATGGGTCCTGAATTCCATTCAATAAACAATAAACACACATTTATGCAAAAGGATATATGGATATTAATTAGTGAGATTAGATAGGTCCTGATTCTATGTAGGCACTTCACTCCAGCAACTCGTTGGATGTCTTGAGGAACACTATAATTCATTTAATATAAAACCATACAGGACTGATATTTGAAACATCAAACTCTTCATTCACATGGTGGTTAAATTACAATGGAGTAGTTCACTCTGTGAAAGACAGTCATGTTACAGAAACATATATTATTCTTTGGTACGTCTAATAAGACGTCACTGAAGATTTCCATTAACCAATAACAATCCTTTTGAATGATTTAAAAGCAGGATTCCACATTGAAAAAGAAAACTTGTTTCATACAAAATAGCATGAACCCTTAACAAACAAATAATTTCAGCTGTTCTTTTAAGAAAACTTATAGCAACAAAATTGAAAATTTAATGCATACTAATGCATAAATTTGGAACAACAGCATCCTAACAGGTTGAAAGAGCCATATAAATAAAATTAGAAACAAGCTAATTAAGGAGGAAAAGAATTCTAAATTTACCATTCTCAGTGAAGTTGAACCTTGTTTATTCAAAGATTCTCCAAGCATAGCACGTACATCACAAGACCATCCAAAGAAGCCCTTCCATTCACTGTATATACACTTCACAACAAAAGCAAATAAATAAATAAAATCAACATTGCTACTATTTACATAAACTTAAAATTCACGAAATAAGACATAAAATCTTTAACAGTAATCATCTCCATCAAACACAACTTATTAAAAAGTTAAAAGATCACTGCACTTACTGTTTGCATACTCTGTATAATCACAGCTTTGTCCCTAGACTCTTGCGAGACTAGAACATGAGGTTTAAGACTCCTCCAGCTCCCGCCCTCCACAACTGGTTTGACGCCAACGGTTCCGCGTACAACCACGAGGGGCTCTTCGGACGACTCAGATTGCTCAGCACTGATGATGCTGCGAAGGTCGCCGATGCTAATGGATGGGGCGCTCTGGATTTTACTGAGGGCAGAGGAGGCAGACCTATGCTTAAGGAGAGCACGAACGGCAGAGCATGCTAGGACCACGCCTAAAATAGCACCGTCGAACGCGAGGGCCAGCCGCGAGACTAAGGATAAGGGCACAAAAATTCGATCATCCGCCATCTCTTCAACTTCACACCAGAAACCGTCGCGTCACTGGCACGTGTGGAGCGCGGTTACTCCCGGTTGTGGCGGCGGAGGTATGCGGTTGAGAAAGAGCTACAGAGACCGGTGGTCGTCTGAGATTTTTGCGGTGACCGATTAGTTTGGGTAATTGAGGCGGTTACGGTGATTGAGAAGTGCTGATCCAACCACTCTCCGACTGTCCTTGGACTGGGAATTAAGCCAAGGGACTGGAGAGGTCTTTAATCATATGGGTCATTGGGTCGGAATCTTAGGACCCGGATCATTTTTTAAGATGCGTTTAACTGCATAGTTTTCATTTCTTTAATATAGATGTAATTTACAATCAACATGTTCGTTCAAGGTGAATAAATTTGATTTTTTTTAAAAATAAAATATTAAATTTGAGTTTTGTAATTAAAAACATAGATATTGAAAGAGTTTTTATTTATAAAATCTGACACTACTTAATTTTAAATTAGTTAATACTCAATATAATTACCGAATACCAAGAGGTTAATACAAAAATAATATATAAATGTAATTTTTATAAATTTTTATAATTTTAAATAAAAGAATCTGTTTTATATTTATTTATATAATATATAATTAAGATTATTTAATAAATAAAAATAAAATAATTTTAATATTATTAAATAAATTAATAATTTTATTAGTTTTTATTTTTAATAATTTTAAAATCTCTTTTTCTAATCTTTACCCTACTTTAATTATATTTATTACACCTTTTTATAAGTAATTTCTATAAGTATATAAATGTTAACTTTGATTTAGGAGACAGCCTCTCACCCTCATTCAACCATCCATATTTTTGTAGTCCTGTGCACTTTAGATCACAAAATATAAAACTCTAAATGTAAACATGTACAGATTTTCGTTTAAAAAAAAAATTCAGATATTTTTATACATCATTGAAGCAACTGTGGTTTTTCCAGAGCACCAATGAAAGGAGATATCATCTTTCTCAAGGTATGTATACACTAAATGAAAGTTGAATTGGTTGGCGACAATAAGGGCATCTTCGCGGCACTTCATGTTCGATTGCCATGGCACATTGTTGACAACAAGCCAGATGCCTACACGGGATGAATAGAAAGTTTCTTTCCTTTGTCCAGCAAATCAAGCACAATGTTTTGTCAGGAGCATTATCTATTGGCTCCTTCCCCACAGTCAAAGGGGATGCATCATTGCTGGCAGCATTTCTCGGTAGCTCAAACAAACTTCCACCCGTCTCCTCTTCCACTGCAATCTGTGATGTAGCAAACCAACCATCACTCATCTCACCTCCCTCCATAATCTGTGCTGTTGCATCATTACTAACAACACTTCTTGGTTCAATAGCAACATGCCTTCGTTGCTGATGCCTTCTTGGTTCAGTGCCAACATGTCCTGGTTGCTGATACCTTCTTTGTTCCCTCTGCACTTTCCATTTGCTCCATTTCCTGAAGATATCTTAGTAATGAGTTAGGTTTACCTTGGATAAAGGGAAACAAATTGGGTAACAGCAACTCTAGCTAATGAGGAAACTGAAACAAATAAATAACTATACTAAACTGGCAACAGGCTAATAGTGTGTGTCAAGGAATGACTTTTAAAAGTAAAAGAGAAATAAGGAGATAATTAGTACTTCAAATGCAAAAAACAGAAATACCTCACAACAGCAAATCCAAGAATACCAAAGGAGAATGAACCGAGAAAAATCCCACTCCAAAATAGCATCTTTGTCCTGAAGGCTAAATTTGACATCATCTGATCCTTTGTCACGTCAGTCCTGCAAAACACCAGCACAAATTCAGTTATTCAATTGAAAGCAGCACCTCAAGAAAGATTTGAAGAAAAAAATTGCAACATGTACATATAAAGCAAGTGATGATATTCATTGAGTACTTTACATTTTCTAGGGAGCAGAGACATCAGATAGTTGGATAAACTTGGAATTTTCATGTATCCATTTCTTTATTCAGTAAAAAAGTGGCTAAAGCAGTAAAGCATCATAAAAGGCAATGCAAAACTTAGTTGAGAGAGGATGGGGGCTGCACGAAGAGTTACTATTCTTAATACTTAAGACAGCAGCTAACTCCAAAGAAGAAGCAAAAATTTAACAAACAACTTCATGTATATTAAGAGCAAGAAATCTGCAAGTTCAAAAGAAAAAGGCCGAGAACACTTCCACAAACAAACCCCCTTACAGAAGATAGGGAAGCTGCATGTATGTCTTTATTTCAAGTACTCCATTATTGAAACTAGAGATTCCAAGTGGTCCCATTTCCATTCCTAATGGAAGAATTTTCTCTTCATCAAGCAGACCAACCTAGAAAATAAATCAAATTACATTTTAAAGGAATAAAATCTTTAGTTTAGTATACAATCAGAACATCAGTTATATTCCCATCAAAAAGAAATGGAACATCAGTTATATTCAGGGAAAAAAGAAGCAAAGGTTTAATTATTTCCCTAAACTTACATGGTGTCTCTGATCACACAAAGCCTGAAGCAGTGTATAAGGAGAAGCATTAGCAGGCTGCAACTCATCATAAACTGTTGTGAGAGGTATGGGATGTCTGGAGACATCTAAGTTTGCAATGATACAACCAGATTGTGGCCATTGATCACCTTCAAAAAGAATGAAAGGTATCTACACAAATGAAACATGAAAGAAAACATATGAGATGCAAACTGTGATAACAAGTACCATGTAATGGGCCCTTAATTTGATTATAGAAAATGAAAGACATCTGATGATTAGAAAATGAAAGACACTAATATGAGATGACATTATAAAAAATTATAAGGTCATAAGGGTTGTGAGACTTCTCTCAGGGAACTTTATTCTTTTGAAAAAAACCATAAAGACAGCCAGAATCATGACCAAGGCAAAGGGAATACAGCAGTTGGAATATTTCAAAAGGATTGAAGCAGCACATGCAAAGTTCTCTGGTGCACTATAGTTTATTACAACAAAGACCATGCACAACTGATAACAACAGCTATAATCACACAACACTTCAACAAGAGCTCGAGTCCACACCATGGTAAGAATATGCTTGGTTCTTTGAATTTCTCAAGGGAAACAATCATGTTATGAGAGCATATTTTATCATCAAGAAGATGCACAACCTATAAACTTCTTTATTAACTAATTGCAATGCTTTTAAATGGTTTTTAAGTCATGATTCTGTGTAGCCAAGGGAACTTGTTTCAAGCAAAATTGTAAGCACTACAACTCAGAAAAGAGCTTTATCACTCATTTTACAAGCACTCGGTAATAAAAATTGAGAATTTAATGCAGGAGAAATTGTCAATTAGACATAATAGCAAATAGTAACATCACCACGGCCAAGAAATGGTCCTATGAACAGTATATCCACCAAATTGAGAAAAATGATGTTTCTGACTGTACCGTTGTCGGCGAGGTTGATTGTTTATTCCAAGGCAAATATGAAGTCCATCCACTCAAACGCTTCCATATACTCTTCACACAATAAAGAAACAAAATCAACACTAGAGCTCCATAGCGCTGATCAAGATCAATTACGTAGAATAGAGAGAACAAGATTAAAACCTAAAGAATTTGCAGCTCCTAATCCCTCAAACAACTGGAAAAGTGGCTTCTAAAATGTATAAATAACAATTAAAAAAAAAAAAAAGGTGTCACCTTTCCTTGATAACTTCTTGAATTATACTTGGAAGTAAGATATACTTACGGTTTGTGTCTTTGGGATGATAAAGGATTTGGCCCTGGATAATTGAGAGAAGAGGGAGTGAGGAATTAGACTCTTCCAGGATTCGCCATCAACGGCTGATTTCGCGACGACAGTGTTACGGAGGACGAGGAGGGGTTCATCTGATTTCTCTATGTCGATCACAATACGAAGGTCGGCAACTCGGAAGGTTGGGATATTCTGGATTTGACGGAGGGTGGAGGAGAGAAACCTGGACTGTTGAAAAGCACATACAGCGGCGTATGCCAGGGCAAGGCTTAAAGCGCCGTCAATTAGGACATGTGAGGACAGGAACGGCAAGGATTGCTCGTGGGATGGCATTTCCCAACTTCAGATACTAGGTCAACAACCACGTCGTCGTCGTCGGCCTGAAGACGGAAAGAGGCCGGCCGTTGATGGTTTTGGAGAGAGTGTAGAACTGGTGCCGGTGGTTGTAAGACAGTAAAGAAACAAACTAAGGGCCACCTTTTCACCACTAATTATTTATTTATTTTTGTTTTATTTTTTTATCATTTGGAATGATAAGAGAATGAAAATTTTTTAAATAATCGGTAAAAATACAACATATGATCAATTAAATTTAAATATTAAAAGTTAAGAATGAAATAATAAAATTTACGATTTAAATAAATTAATAATTATTTTTATTAAAATTAAAAAATTTTAAATTTAAATTTTATACAAATAAAATGAAATAAGAGATTAAAAATTAATATCTTTTATAGTGCGATCAAAATAAAAGAATAAAAAGAATGAAACAGTTAACGCAAAGGCTGGTTCACGATTATTTAAAAAGAAAAAAAGAAAAAAAAAGAAAGAAAGAGTCCTACAAGTCCACCGGTTAGGAACTTCAGTATTCTCAAATCTCAATTACAAATCCTAAGATGTGTAGGGGTTGGAAAAAAAATGATTGATTTTTGTTATATAATTTATCATTTAATATAAAAAAATGAAAAAAAAGAGAGAAGCTACTGCTACTTTAAGTTTAGTTTGTTTAATTTCACAATTTTGTTATTTTTTGACATTAATTTTAGGGAAAAAAATGTTTATCATCAATAATGGTAAAAAAAATAAGTAAAAAAAAACTCTAAAATTGTTTTAATAAATTTTTATTGAAAAAATTAAAACATCTTAATTTTTAAATATAAAATGAGATTATTTTAATTTTTTTCATAATATTTTATTAAAATAATATAATTTTTTTTTACAAGTCTAACTAA